AATGAGGATGGTGTGTTGTAATAAAAACAAAATCGGTGGGTCATATTGAAACTGGCGATCTAGTAGAAGATGTTGCTTACCAAGTTGATGAAGTTGAGAAAATTAATGATGTGATTATAAATGAACAATTACAAGTTTGTCTGATGCAATGGTTGAGAGACATCAAGTTGATGTGTCTATATTGTTGGTTGATAATAATGTGGACGAAGAGCATGATAAAGAGTTTGGATCCGAGGACAATATCACATCAGATGATAAGAAAGATATGGATGACGAGCATGAAGATTTAGAATAATGAACTATTTATTGAATGTGTTAATGAATATGTATTGATGAGAATAATGAATCGTCTATTGAATGTGTTAATAAATGTGTATTGATGAGAATTTATTTTTCAAATATATTATTTTTGTTGATGTGCGTGTGTGTGTGTGTGTATATATATATATATATATATATATATATATATATATATATATATATATATATATATATATATATATATATATATATATATATATATATATATATATATATATATATATATATATATATATATATATATATATTAACTGTGTTTTCTATATAAATAGTTAAAACGCTACCTCGAATTAATAAGAGTAAGGATAAGGGTAAGAAGTCCCAATGCCCGAGGTTAGTAACATGTGAGGCACCTCAGTCGGCCACGTGTCCTCCCCCGTAGAGTCAGGTTGATCCTATGTCTATGACCAATACTCAAACTTTTGTGTCATTACTCTCCTATCAGAATATATCATTCTCATCTGAGAGTTTATCTTTTATTAGCCCGTCTGGGGTACCATCTTTTGTTAGGCCACCTAGTTTTCTTTTTCTGCAGACCTAAATGCCCTCATCCTTCCAGCATATTAGAGGACTCAATTTTCAATATCCCATATAGATGCCCTTATCCTTCCAGCAGACTATAGGATCCAGCACCCCACATTCCACACAGATTGGAGGATCCTGCATCCCATATCCCACATATGTACCTGCACGTGAGAATGATCACGCGTAGTCGGATAATGATGATGATGTGGATGGGGATGATGATGAGTTGGATGGAAATGATCTTTGAGGGAATGATGATCCAAGTGAAATTCATATCATTGGCGAGAGATTTTATATTTGGCCCGAAGGAAGCTCATAAGTTTCTTATTTATAAATTTTTATTTAAGTATATTTTTTCATTTTTAATATAAATTTATATTTAATATTGCTAATTAAAATTATTGTTGTTTAGTTTCTCGCCGAGTCGGACTCCTGCCAAGGTTATAAACTATATAATTCAGCAGATGTATAAACAATTTTGGAAGACCTTCAAAGACGTTAAAAATAAAGAAGTTTGGTTTAACAAATTTAATGTATAATTAATTTATTTTTTAGTTATTATTATTTAAATGACTTTTTCATTATAATTATCTAACTATTTATTTTAATATCCTACAATATTGCAGGAAAAATGTATGTGAGACCCATTGAACGAGAAGGTGATTAAAAAAAATTATTATGGCATAACCTCAAGATGATTTCCGGACATAATGCAGCGTGTTAGAGAGTGTTGGGAACTTCAGGGTATCCGTCCCAATTGGATAGGTAAAGAGGTTTTTTAGGAACTTCGTAAATATTGAGAGTCACCAGAATTTTAGGCTAAATCTAAAAATTTTAAAAAGATGAGGGCATATGAAAAAGGGAGTTGCGTTAATGCAGTTGGAAGTATAAATACCGCAGAGCATGTTCGACGCATGGTAAATATTACCATTTTTTTAAATTTATATTTTGATTCATAATATATTTTATTAATTAAAGTTAACTTTGTTATTTAGACTAAGACTTTGGGGAGACCATCATTGATGATTCAACTAGTTAAAAAGACTCGGACAAAGAAAACGGGGGATTTTTTTAATTTAATGACAATTTTGTGTCGTTATTTTCATGTGGCAACTGAGAAGTTGTGGCGTGAAAATGACGTGGCAATTGAGAAGTCGTGGCGTGAAAATGACGTGACAATTTTTTTAATATAAAATAATTTAATTTAATTTAATTTAATATATATTTAACTTAATTTTTTTATTGAATGTGTAGGAGGATTATCAGACATTGCTCACAAATTTTCTGATTTATAATCCACAATATACTCCGAGAGAGGGAGAGTCGCTTCATCCAGATGTGTATTTTTATATTTGGGATCAAGTCATTGGCGGAAAATGGCTTAACGGTTATTTTTTTATGGTGGAAATTTGACAGGTACCTTGAGAAGTGAGGATAAAACTCTATTTCAAAGAGTTAGAGATGGAGAAGGAGGGTCACGTCAACCAAATTTAACACCATAACAACTTGAAACAGTAAGATAATTGGCGTTAAATAAGGTGAGACACGAGTCAGTGTAACGTGAGGCGGTAATGAAGGCCCAAATGGAGGCAATGAGGCAAGAGCAACAAGAGGAAATAGAGGTTATGGCAAAGAGGCAAGCTGATATGGAGCAACAATGAGACAATTTATGCAAGGATTTGGCGGAAATCAAAACGTTTGTGGTCAAGAGCCGGAGGATGACGAAAACAAAGATAATTTTGACATTGACAACTATCCCAACCAAGATGATCCGTTGAATTAATTTTTTTTTTTATTTTGCTTTCAAATTTGAATTTGTGTAACATACTAATTAATTAAACTTATTTAATATATTAAATTAAAAAATCTTAAATTAATAATTTAGGTTATTAATTTTATTATATTAAATTTATTTAATTTATTAATTTATATATTTAATTTATTAATTTAATAACTATAAAAGAAAAATAAATTTCAGCAATTAAATTAAAAAAAAAACATTAGTGATGTGATTTCCATGTCACAAAGTTGTGACATGTAAATCACGTCGCAACTTAATTTTTTTTATAAAAAAAAAACAAAGCTGAATAGAACGTTTCATTGTTAAATGTAATTAACTAGTGACGTGATTTTCACGTCACAAATTAGTAACATGAAAATCACGTGGCAAATAAAGTGCTCCTCTGACTCCTGCACCTGCTACGCCTGCTCCCACTATAATGTTCAGATTTCTGTGCAAGCGAGTTGCGATGTGATTTTCACGTTACAACTTTGTGACATGAAAATCACGTCGCAATAAATTTTCCACCCCCTCCCCAACTATGTAATTGTTCACGTCGTAAATTAATGGTTGTAACGTGATTTTTCACGTTGTGACATGAATTTCACGTCACACTTGAGAGTTTTTTTTATAGTGAAATGAAGGTTGGAGATGAGGGAAAAAAAGAGGTTGGTGATGGAGGTTGAAGATGGAGATGGAGATGGAGGTTGGAGATAAAGACTAGAGATGATAAAATAGAGGTTGAAGATGAGGAAAAAATGGAGGTTGGAGATGAGGAAAAAAATAGAGGTTCCAGATGAAAAAAATGAAGGTTGGAGTTTGGGATGAGAAAAAATAGAGGTTGTAAGTTGGCAATGGATTGAGGAAGAAGTTGAATTTGAAAAAAAATGTTGAGATTTCTTCCTCTCATGTGTGTGGGACCAGAAATGTTTGCCATGTAACCTTTTTGTAACAGATTATTTAAGCCTTTATATATCATCTCATAATTTCTTTCTTATATAAAAATTTGTATTATATATATATATATATATATATATATATATATATATATATATATATATATATATATATATATATATATATATATATATATATATATATATATATATATATATATATATATATATATATATATATATATATATATATATATATATATATATATATATATATATATATATATATATATATATATTCGATATGAGACTCTTAACACACACTCTTACGTCTAAGACGAGACATTTGAAGCGTGAAAATAAATGATGTGTGACACAATATAGAAATCTGATAATAGGTGGTCCACCAGATCTCAAACGAGACTATTGATATCATATTAAGAAATGTGGTTTGGTTTGACTCAATCCTATAAAATCGGCTTGTAGGATGAAGACTGTCTCCACTTATAAAATCATGTTTATACCATATTGTCCTATTTGAGACTCTTAACACACTTCGTCACCTCTAGAATTAGATTTATGGAGTGTGAAAATAAATGATGAGTAGTTTGATAGCAAAAAGCTTAATAACAAATGGTCAATCGAATCTTAAACAAAATTCTTGATTACATGCTAAGAAATCTAATTGGAGCTAACTCAATCTTACAAAATCAATTTGTAAGATGAGAATTATCTCAATTATAAAAAGATGTGAATGTCATATATTATGAAATGTAAGACTCTTAACATTATACGCTCTCCGTTTTAAAATGAGTATCGTTTTAGAAATAAAAATTGTTTTAAAATGAATGTCATTTTTACTTTTTAATATATTAATTATAGGTATTTTTTCTAATTGTGTACTATAATTATTACTCTGCATACTATTTTTAATAAATTAATAAGACTAATTTAGTAAAAACAATGTCTCATAATAATATAGTTGTATTTCTTAATCTGTATGCAAAAACCTTAAACGATATTCATTTTAAAACGGAAGAAATATATAACATAATTATATTAGTCATGTAAAATCAAAATAATTAAAAGTAATTGTTAGTGCCAATGATTATTAACTTAAAGTGCATGGTTGATTCATTCTCTACGAAACCAGGAATATGATGAGAGCAATGAAGTCAACAATTGCTTTTTTTAATAACAAAAATAAAACATAGCATATGACCCAGCTCATGTATACTTATTTAATATGAATGTAAAAGTATTATATGAAACTTTGGAATTTGGTCAACAAATATAAAACTAGAAAAGTATTCTAGTGGCTAAGCTACTTGTTGAAAGTCAAGTTGCTACTCGTTGTAATAAATGAGCCAATATGGGTAATCATATAATCCATATATTTTATTTCTTCTATAAATACAACCTATTTCCACTTCTCAACATAGCAACATTCAACAACATATCTTTAACTATATCAAAATATGGCTAAATTCATCTTCAAATCTCTTTTCATCTTTTGGTACTGTTTTCTCCTTAGACAACTAAAAAATCTCATAGTTTTCCACAGAACTATTAGCAACACTTTTGCTAGTACCACCACAACATCATCACAAACCAAATACCAAAAATTTCCATCTCTTCTTAATCGATCAGACTTAAATGACCATACATTAATCTTCGATGTCGAAAACACTCTTCTTAAATCCTCTTCTCTGTTTCAATACTTCATGCTTGTAGCATTTGAAGCAGGAGGACTTCTAAGAGCCATTATTCTTGTTGTCCTATACCCTTTTATTTATTTATCCGGAGAAAAAATGGGGTTGAAGATTATGGTCATGGTATGTTTTTTTGGTATAAAAGCAGAGAGCTTTAGAATTGGAAGATCGGTTATGCCGAAATTCTTTTTGGAAGATGTTGGTTCGGAAATTTTTGAGGTGGTTAATAAAGGTGGGAAGAATATGGGTGTTAGTAATCTACCTCGTGTAATGGTGGAGAGTTTCTTGAAAGAGTATTTAGAAATTGATTTTGTGGATGCTAAGGAACTGAAAATGTTTTGTGGGTACTATGTTGGGTTGATAGATAAGACAGAAAATGTTCATTCTTTGAAGCAAGTTCAAGAGGGGAAAGGCTCTTTAGACATGATTGGAATTACAAGATTCAATAGCATTAGTGAACATGAAATTTTCTTTTCTTGCAAGGTTTGTTTTACCTCTGTTCGATATCTCAACATAACTTTCTATATATATTTAATGTCTCTACATAACTATCAATATATAATGTCTATGTCTATGATATCACTGCACAACTATCGTCTGAGCGGTTAGAAAATTGGTTATAAATTTTAACTAACAAATTGTTTTTCTTTTTCTCAACAGGAAGTATATGTAGTGTCACAAGCTGAGAAAAGAAGTTGGAAAAAGCTAGCAAAAAAGAATTATCCAAAAGCACTTATTTTCCATGATGGAAGATTAGCACTAACACCAACACCATTAAAATCCCTTGCAATGTTAATATGGCTTCCATACGGAATATTCCTCTCCGTTATCAGAATCTTACTAGCCTTCACACTTCCTTTCAAACTCTCAACTCCGTTACTAATCTTCACCGGCCTTCGTCTCACATCCTCACTCCCCAAAAACGCAAACCCTAACAAACAAAACGACAACAACAAATCCAACAGTCACCTTTACGTTTGCAACCACAGAACCTTACTAGACCCTCTCTACATTTCATTCTCACTACAAAAGAAACTAATCGCGGTAACTTATAGCTTAAGCAAAGTCTCAGAAATAATTGCACCGATCAAAACGGTGCGATTGAGTAGAAACAGAGACATTGATTCAAAAATGATGAAGAGGTTGTTACAAGAAGGAGACATAGTTGTTTGTCCGGAAGGAACTACTTGTAGGGAACGTTATTTATTAAGGTTCAGTCCTTTGTTTTCTGAGATGTGCGATGAGATAACACCTGTGGCTGTTGATAGCCACGTCAGCTTGTTTCATGGTACAACTGCTGGGGGTTTAAAGTGTTTGGACCCGGTTTTTTTCCTCTCGAATCCTTTTCCGGTTTATACGGTTCGGTTGTTGAACCAGGTTTATCGTTCGGAGTTTTCGTGGGTTAATGAGGATGTTGAGGGTTGTAGATTTGAAATGGCGAACCGGGTTCAAGGTGAGATAGGGAATGCTTTGGGATTTGAGTGTACGAAACTGACGAGAAAAGATAAGTATTTGATTTTGGCTGGGAATGAAGGTGTGGTTTCAAAGAGTTGATACTTTGACAATAAAAAATAACCAAGTTTATTATCAGTTTGATGAAAATGAAAAGGTTTTTATTTTGTGGCCTATAGAAAATAATGGTCTTTTTTTATTTTTTTTATTTGATTTAATTGATTGTAATTGTTTTTTTATATTTTTAAATTCAAATTTGTTCTGTATATTTTGTGGTGCTATTAATGCAAACAATATTGATTAATGTTGATATTTTGGTTTTTAATTAATGTGGATGAGGCTAGCTGGCTACTGCTAAACGGATAAATGTTCAATAAAAGTGGAAATTTAATTAACTTATTGTTACAATTGAAGATGAAAACAGAGATTGAGTCCTCAACACGAAAACTTGAGACTTATGTTTGTTGTTTTCTGACCCAATGACTATGTTAGTTGGTAGTTGGCTGTAACTATAGGATAATCATAATTTTTAAGAATGATAATTGTGAGAATATGATATATGTTCGTCAGTGTATATAAAAGTTTGCTTAACACTTAATGTGATGAAAATAATTTTCAACGTTTAGGAAATTTTGACTCCATCCCACGTCATTTTTTTCGTTGAAATATAGTACATATGTATATTAGAGTTGTGGTGTATTTGTCAAGTTTTTCGAAAGCTGGATGTATATATGTGTTTGTGTTGGGATTTTCTGAATGAGTCATAAATACTAGGGTAACTTATTAGATTGAGTTAAGAATAATGCCGCAAACGAGGGTGTAATGGTTTATAAACGGTGGCGGATTGTTAAAATCATAATATCTCTAAATTGTTGGTACAAGGTAATGAAGTGGAAGAAGAAGAATGAACAAAAATGATAATAAGAAGACTATTGTTGATTTAAAGTAGAGGAGATAAATAGGGATATAATATTGATAGTCTAATATAACATATTTATACTAAGTATTGAAAATGCCAAAAAGGTCCTATTAAAGAATAAGCATTGAAAATTGTAGTAATTAATTAAATTATCTTTCAAATACCATCCCTTAATTTAGATATTCTATCAGAAGCTAACAACACCAATTTCATTTCTCAAACGAAGAAATTGATCTGTCTTAACTGCCTTCATCGGAAGATCTGCTAGTTGTTTCTAGGTGTTGCAGTGCAGAGCTTCTAACACTCCTTTTTGCACTTGACTTTTGAGAAAATGATACTTCGTCTCAACGTGCTTGCTTCTTCCATGTAGCACTGGATTCTTGGCAAGATCAATTGCAGACTTATCATCAATCATCAGCTTCAGAGGTTCCTCAACTTCAACCTTCAGATCATGCAAGAGATTCAGAAGTCAAACAACTTGACAAGCAGCTACAGCATCTGCGATATACTCAGCTTCACATGTTGACAGAGCCACGACATGCTGTTTCTTGGAACTCCAGGAAATGAGACCTCCCATAAATTTAAACAAGTATCCAGAAGTACTTCTCCTGTCCACTCTGTCTCCACACTAGTCAGAATCAGAATAACTTACTAATTTTGGTTCTGTCTTTCTTTCAGAAGGAAACAACACTCCATATTTTAGGGTTCCCTTGATATATCTCAGAATTCTGACAACAGCTTGGAAATGAGACCACTTTGGATTACTCATGAATCTGCTAACTAATCCAACTGCATAACAAATGTCAGGTCTAGTATTGCATAAATACCTTAGAGAACCAACCAACTGTTTGAAGGTTGTAGTATCAACAAAATCACCATCAGAGTCAGAATCCAATTTTTGATTAGTTTCTGATGGTGTCACAACAACTTTACAATTTTGCAGCTTAAATCTCTTCAGAAGTTCTAGTTTGTACTTCAACTGATGCATAATGATACCCTTCTTCGAGTACAGAATCTCCATCCCTAGCTAGATCTGTCATCTCGAACTCATTCATCAGAACTTCTTTGAACTTCTTTATATCTTCTGGGCAGCTTCCTGTTAGCAAAATGTCATCAACATAGAGACACACCAAAATCATATTGTTATCAGAGTGTTGCACATAAACGCCATATTTCATCTCACATTTCTGAAACTTCTGCTTCTTGAAAAACGAATCAATTTTCAGATTCCAAGCTCTGGGCACTTGCTTCAGTCCATACAGAGCTTTATTCAACTTGTATACCATCCCTTCCTGATTCTTTTTCACAAATTCAGGAGGTTGTGACACGTAAACTTCTTCCTGTAATGGACCGTTCAGAAATGCAGACTTCGCATCCAGATGCATTAAAGGCCAATTTTTATTTGCAGCTAAAGCAATCACCAGTCTGACTGTTCCGTGCCTAGATACAGGCGCAAACACCTCAAAGTAATATAGCCCAGGTTTCTGAAGAAAACCTCTAGCTACTAGCCTAGCTTTGTGCTTGCCAATTGAAACATCTGGCTTAAGTTTCAACTTAAAAACCCATCTGACACTGATGTCTTTTTTCTTATCTGGAAGTTTAGTCAATTTCCATGTTTTTCCTTTCTATTGCCTCAAGTTCTTCTTTCATGGAATTCAACCATTCTTTCTTCTTGAGAGCTTCTTCAATGCCCACTGGCTCAGAATCTACTAACATGGTACACTGAACGACTTCTCCTTCAGGGTCAACTTCATTATCCAGCAACATCTTGAAATCTGCAAACCTTCTTGTTTTTTGTCTGATTCTCTGTGGTCTTTGAGCTTGTTCTGAAACTGCACCAGAACTACTATCTTCAGAGTTACCACCTTCAGAGTTTTCCCTTCTAGAACCATGGTCACCACCAGATTCTGGATCATCATCAGCATATGGATCAGAATCAGATCCATTATCAAAACCTCCTTCTGACTCATCTTCAGAATCAGATTCATCTTCTGATTCTGACTTATCTTCAGAACTTTCTAAAACATCTTCAGAAACTAACTCTGGTGTTGGCACTACATCAGAATCTGATTGAGACTCGTTCTAATCCCATGCTTCAAACTCTTTCACCACAACGTCTTTGTTGACTTCAACTTTATTAGTTTCTGGATAATAAATCTTATACGCACCTGTATTGTGATACCCCGCCAGTAACATCACTTTGCTTCTATCATCCAGTTTTTGTCTTCTAGCTTCTGGAACGTGTTTGTAACAGACAGAGCCAAACACCTTTAGATGACTGACACTCTGCTTATCTCCAGTCCATTTTTCTAAAGGAACAACTTCCTTCAACTTCTTCGTTGGACACCTATTCAGAATATATGCTGATATGGCAACAACTTCTCCCTATAGCACGTGAGGTAGCTTTTTTTCTTTCAGCATGCTTGGTCATATCAAGCAAAGTTTTGTTTCTTCTTTCATCAAGACCGTTGTGCTGAGGAGTATATGGAGCAGTAACCTCATGTTCTATTCCATCCTCCTCACGGAACTTCTGGAACTTTGTAGAGTTATACTCACCTCGACCATCCGTTCTCAGAATCTTCAACTTCTGATCACTCTGCTTCTCAGCCTTCACTTTGAACTTATGGAACTCAGTAAACACTTCATGCTTGAACTTCATGAGTGTTACCCATGTCATTCATGTGAAATCATCCACAAAAGACACAAAATATTTGTTTCCTCCAAGTGAAGGTACTGGAAATGGTCCACACACATCAGAATGTACTACTCCCAGAGCATGCTTCGCTCTGTGGGCTACTTCTGATGCAAATGGAAATCTGGATTGCTTGCGTTTCATGCATATCTCACATGACTTCTTTGGCTTCACAATCTTCGAAATACCATGTACAAGCTTCTTAGAATATAGATGCCCTAGGCTTCTATAGTTCAAATGCCCCAATCTCTTATGCCACAGCTTATTGTCACTTTCAGCGTCTTCTGCACTAAGACATGTTGCTTCAGCTGTTTCTACATTTACCTTGAATGTTCTGTTTCTTCCTTGTTCAGACTTCATAATCAACTTCTGATTGGAATCATACAACGTCAAGAGATTGTTTTTCATAACAACTAAGAAACCTTTCTCAATCAGCTGACCCACACTCATCAGATTGCTTCTAATACCAGGGACATACCAAACGTCTTTGATCAAAATGTATTTCCCATTCTTCACTCTAACTCTGACATCTCCCATACCTTTTGCATTAAGATACTTATCGTTAGCACATCTGATCTTTTTTCTCCTTTTGGAGTCAAAGTCTTTCAGCCATTGTTTGTTTCCAGTTAAGTGATTTGAACAGCCAGTGTCCATATACCACCAATCTCATGAGTATTTTCCATCAGAGTTAGAAGCCATTAATAGTACAGGTTCATCATTAGAGTTTCCCTTACCATATACGCTTCTTCTGATTTCCTTTCCTTGTTTGACCTATAATCTCTGGCAAAATGGCCAAATTATTTACAAGAGTAACATTGAACCTTCTTTTTGTCATACCTCTCCTTTACTTTATGATATCTCTTATCATCAGAAGTTGAGGTTTCTGACTTTTGGAATCTATCACCACGTTTATTCTGCTTATGGTCTTTATTGACAAAAGAAGCCTTCAGAGCTTGCTCAACTTCCCTCTCAGAAGTTCTCTCAGACAGACGTAACTCTTGTGCTTCTAAACTGCTTTGCAATTCTTTTATTCTCATGGTTTCCAGATCTTTAGAATGTTCAATAGAAACAACAATGTAATCAAACTAAGGAGTAAGCAACCTCAGAATCTTCTCTATGATTACCTGTTCAGACAAAGTTTCTCCACACGCCTTCATCTCGTTAGTGATTAGAATCACTGTGGAGATATATTCAGAAATTTCCTCACTGTTCTTCATGTTCAAGTTCTCATATTGCTTTCGCAGGGATTGAAGCTTCACATTCTTTACTGATGCGTCACCACTGTAACATCTCACCGGTAAATTCCACGCCCCTTTTGATGTTATTGAATCAACAATCTTCTCGAACACACTTTCATCCACACATTGGTGAATATAGAATAGAGCTTTCTGGTCCCTCTTCCTCATAACCCTCTCACCAGTTTTCTGTTCTTCAGTTGCATCTGCTGCAGCTGGTACATAACCATCTGTAACCAGATCCAGAACATCTTGC